AAAAACTCTGTAATTGGCAGTCTGTATCAAAATGGTAAATGTGCCTACCCTACCACCCTACGATCATGCTTCTAGGTGTCTCACATTCAGAAACAGCAAAGATGATGTGAGAAGAGAGGCTCAGTACTGCTCATTACAGTATTGTTTGCAAGAAGAAAACCTGGGAAAAATAACGGCCTTGTTCATAAGAAATGAGTTCACACTTCTGCAACATCTGTAGAGCAGAGTGCTATCAGTTGCTAAAAGGGAGATGAAACTTAATCCACCGTCTTGTAACAAAGTCTACTTTTATACAGTTAACCGTTAAAACAGGAAATTGTATGGAAATGCGCCTATCTGTATCTCTATACACCTGCCATATAGTTTATCACTTAAAAACCTGCACATACATAGAAAAAGCCTGGAAGGGTATGCACGGAGCTACATATGGTAGACCTTCCTTGACGGTAAAATTGGAGTAGTTACAGGAAATCTGTTACTCTTTATTTTAAATATGTCAAATAACAAAATAAAAAGTAGTGGAATAAAAGACAATTTTTACAAGTGTGTTTTTTACTTTTCCAACCAAAAAAAATTAAACATACAACACATTTGAGTTGTATGAACACCTGTATAGCTACAACCTAAGTACAACAATTGACTTGGGATTTTTAAAAAATATATTTTTATTGATTTCAGAGAGGAAGGGAGCAGGAGAGATAGAAACATCAATGATGAGAGAGAACCATTGATCAGCTGACTCCTGCACGCCCCACACTGGGGTTTGAGCCCGCAACCCAGGCATGTGCCCTTGATCAGAACTGAACCCGAGGCCTTTCAGTCTGCAGGCCAATGTTCTATCTACTAAACCAAGCTGCCTAGAGCGGGATTTTTTTTTAAGATAAAATAATTCCTCCGATAGTTTACTTTTGTTTAATGTATAACTTATTTATCGACCATCCTAACACACACCTAGTTACTGCTGCCCACAAAGATGTATGTGGCTTAAGAGAGGTTTCTCTTAAAAGTAAATATTTTCTTTCCTTCCTCCACTTGTAAAACGTGATCAGCTATCAATTCTAGCTCTTCTGCCACAATTCCTCTCTCCCTTTCTCATTTTGCCCAGTTTATTCCATTAATCATTTGAAGTGATTAGTCTAACCTTAGCTAAAGGATACCTTTATATATTTAGGTCTGTGCTTTACTTTTGTAGGTCATAGATGACAAAGCAATGCTCCTTTAATTATATGGTCCACACCGGTTCTGAGTGACCCCCTTCACCAACAACTGAAGATTTATTACTGCAAACCATATTGATTTAAGAGATCAGGTAGTTCCCCTTCTAAATACAACTTGGCTGATATACTGGCATCTGAACCTGATGGGCAGATAAACATATTCATGGCAAGTATCTACAAACAGAGGTGCCTGTTCTCAACTGGGAAGGTGTGTGACTTGCTCCCCCTGTCCGGGTGCTTCAATGCAGTGCTCCATGAACAGTGACTTGACCGGCCCCCCAAATTGGGAAAGTGTGCCAAAGCAATGTTCTCTCCACATCTCGCAACCCCCCAAAGATGGTCACACTGAAAGCAACAGGTGCTCTCTCTCCACTTGGTGCCTTAGCTGGGAGACAGTGCAAGGAATTCTGTCCTTTTCCTTCTGCCAACCCAGAGACAGGTGTGCGTGTGGCACTGCGGTGAAGGGCAAGATGCTTTGAAGCGACTGAATTGTTATAGTGCCACATTTATGTCAAAACTGGAAGGTGTGTTTCAAAACCATTTGAATAGATGGCAGAATTGAGGGGGGGAAGTCTGCCTCCTTACATTTAGACTCTCTGACGAGAATAAGTAACTTAAAAAGCAAACAGAATTTTCATTCAGAAGATGGCTTAACAGGAAAAGTAGAATGCACAGAATCCATGAACTAAGCAAAGTCTTCCTTTACCTTCTGAAAGAACCACTGCATTTTAAACGGTATTATTTGGTATTTTATCATCCACGACAGACTCATCAGAAGCAGAAATCAATCTGCTCTCATGAACGTGTTCTGTGGTTGGGGCTGGTTATGAAAATCACCGGCTTCTGATTTCATTGGAAGTCATTTGTTTAAAGTGAATGCATGGATCATTAATTCCCTCCTCCTGCGTGCCATTAATAAACACTGCCAAACTTTATAATGTTTAGGTATAACAAATTATAAATTCAAAGGTCTGATGAACATAAAAGCACATTTCAGAGAGTGGAAGGTACAATTTTGGTTTAAAATATAAAAATCAAGTAGTGTTGTATCATCGCCTATGCAACACCTAGTAAAGGGTCATTTTTCGCCATCCAGGAAAGCCCACCATTATTCATGAATAAGAGAGGAGGAAAAAGCACAAAAAGTTTCCTAGGTTAACAATCCCGCTTTCTGCTCTCATCCTATTGGCAAGTAATTCAGATAATTCATAGCCACTGGCTGAAGCAAATGGTCACATTAACATGCATTTCACATTAACAGCCACATCTATTTCCTTTGTAAAATGGTCCAATTTTCAGGACAGCAGGCCGTATTATAGATCTTTGGAGGCAAATAGACTTGTTCAACAAATCAACTAAAGTAGATTGCTTACCTGAGCGAAAGGGCACAGCAGAATGCTTCCTGCACGAGCAGATATGCTAGGACAGTGGTTCTCAACCTTCTGGCCCTTTAAATACAGTTCCTCATGTTGTGACCCAACCATAAAATTATTTTCCTTGCTACTTCATAACTGTAATGTTGCTACTGTTATGAATCATAATGTAAATATATGATATGCAGGATGGTCTTAGGCGGCCCCTGTGAAAGAGTTGTTCTACCCACAATGGGTCGCGACCCAGAGGTTGAGAACCGCTGGTCTAAAAGAAGCCAAACAGGTAGGAACAGAATGGAAATATACATTGGGAAAAGTTCGATTTTTAATAGAATGCTTGGGTTTGGCCATTATTTGCAAAATTACCCATAAAAGTGAGAAGTATTTGCAGATGGAGGTCTCCTGGTTGAAGGCCCTTCTATTCTCTTTCTTGTAATCACCTGTCCCCTGCTAGTAATCCTTTCTTCACAGTTCCCATTCGTGCTTCACATTCATATCAGAAACATTCTCTCTTGGTGCTGGAGGTGGAGGGACGAGCACTCCCACTGGCTTTCTTCTCGGGGCTGCCTTTCGCTTTCCCCTGAACTCTACAGTGTGCGTCTGTCTCTGCTGGAAGGTCAAGGTGGTTCCAATGCAGATAACACTTAACACACAAGCCAGAGGAGGGGAAGGCAGTGCCAAGCCCGAGATACTGAGCAACCTAATCATTTCCCCCATTTCTATAAAATGCTGCTCTCATAACGGCGATGAGGCAACACAGTCAAGAAATCATGTGCCAGCTTATTTCTGTGGCTTTCAGCTCCTCTATATACTGGGTTAGCCAGATTGAAAAGTACATGAATTAAGAAGGTGCCTGTAGCCTGAAAAAGGCAGTGCACTACTATTTCAAAAAGCGCTGAACAGAGGAGGTTTATTACTCAATTCATATCAAGTTGCCTTAATGGAGCACGAAGCGGGCCACTCAACAGAGATCAGCCAAGGTGACACAGGGATCTTTGCTCGGTCATCAGCACATGCGCACAATCCACACTGATCGGTGTGTTTAGTGATACGCATACAGGAGGCTTTTGGCTACGTGAACATTTATTTCCCACCTTTTATGCTGATGACCGTTTCAGTGTATTTTGCTTTTTAAAACAGAATTTTGAAAAAGTCAAACTTCATTTGCAATATAAGTTAAACAAAGCGCATTTATAATTTGTATAACCACTTTGTAAATGCCAGGCATTTCTCTGAGCTGAATAGTTAACAGTTAGTATGACATATCTACATGTTAAAGAGAAAATAAGCTAAATACAATAAACCATGTATTTTCAACTCTAAGCAATTCACCACAAATGTGTAGCTGAATGAACCCATGGTGTATCCTACCGGGAGGTAGGACATCCATTGGACACAGAGAAAACCTCCCAACAATTGGGGGTACCACGCTACCACATTTCAATCAAGCAGACTTCCTGGATCAGCTCTTTACTCTGTTCACTACCATTAGCAATTAAGATAGTGCCACTCAGTTTTATATTTTCATCTCTGTTTACCATTGATCACTTGCCCTTCATTTGCTATAAATAAGATTTATTTAAAAGACAGTAAAACAGAACTAGATTCCAATTAACTGTACAAAATGCCCCATAGCAAGAATAGTTTTCCTCTGTTGAAGCACTTGAGGTTATTTATTTTCAAAAACAAGCATATTCTTATTCTCAGCCACGCTATGAGTCTCCACAGTAGGAAACCTTCTTTGGTCAATGAGAGTCCAATTTTGTTTCCTTCCCTCCCTCCATCCTTCTCTTTCTCCATCTGGCCATCCCTCCTTCCCTCTCTCTCTCTCTCCCTCCCTCCCCTTTTCTTTCAGAATAACATAGATACAAATTAATATAAAATACAGAATAAACAGGCTGGAGCAAAATTAGATTTGCAGTTATGAGTGCGTGAAACACGGAGTTTATTCTTGTATCATTATTTATTACTGTTCTCTTCCATGTGAATAACTCTAAACCTACCCTTGCCCCATCCTGTATATTCTGAATGATGTAACATTAATCCACCACCTATGCATTCACTTTATAAGATGAGAACCTGAATTCTTTCCATATACATGTCATTGAAAATCATAACTGTGTTAATAAGCCTATAAAATGTAACTATTCTTAAAAGAGTATAAATTGTCCAAATTTGAAGAAATATGTATTTTTCCTCTTTTTATACTCCACCTCAGATTTGCACAAAGGGCTTAATTTCCTTTCAAGATATGTGTTTTGGAAAAATCTCAATAATATAAAAATAAGAGAGAAGGACACACAGAATTGTTGAAAATAAAGTGACACATTCATCTCTCAAGGCAGTATCGACTGGGCTATACAATTTCAGCGTAGACTGCAACATGGGCAAGATGAGTCATGTCTCTTACCTGGTGTTTGAAAATTAAGGCGCCTCAGTTCTACTGGGTCTGTTGGATGGTGTGAAGGGACCTCCTTACTGTTCGGTATGCTGCTCTTTCTAGAGTCAGACTCTGCCCTTTTCCTATAGGGAGAAAGTAAAAATTTAAGAAATTTTAGAAAAAAGTGCAAAAAACTGAAGCAGATTTAAAGAGCTGAGAGTCATGCCCCTCCCCAATTTTTAGTTTTAAAACTTAGATGGGCTAGCTGTGTGACCTGTTCAAGGTTGCTTTTCCTTACTTGACCTATAGTATTCCCTCGGGGCTAAGTTTTGTTTAGGTGGATGATCTCAAAGTCCTCTTTCGGCTGGAGAATGAAACAATTTTGGGACTCTGACTTTTGGCTTGAAGGCAGTGTTAGTGAGATACACTTGGATCCTTGCTCAGCGATTCTCCCTTATCCACTAGTTCTGTTTGTGAGGCACAGGATAGAGGACCCCTAGCAGCCAATACTAAGATTACTGTTACCCTCGAGCTAAGATACTAGGCCTCTAAATCGGACCCGATTTCTTCTAAGAATATGTAACTGGTGGCTATAAAGTGAACCTCCAGTGGATTTTCCCATAAGGCAGAGAAATATAGTGAGTGCATTTCTAAGATTCCAAGTTAGTCTAACACCTGGAAGGAGATTGGGACATAAGAGCAACATTCATGCTCTCTTTCAAATCCCCACCCCCCAAAAAATGAGTATTGGCTGTTTATGGTGTTAAGCTAACTTAACTTATGATTGATATTAACTATGATTAAGATTTTTGTTAACAAAAGTCAATCACAGTAAGATTGGAAAAGTAACTTCACCTAGAGGGTAGTTCCACTCTCCTAATGATCATTCAGGTATATGAACCATTCAATTTCTATTTATAAATAATACTTCACACATTCATTTTATCTTTGTTTTAATTGATATCTACTAGTTTTATTAAGTACTCTGATTTAAAGTATGGTAATGTACTGTTAACAAATGTCTATATAAAAATGTCAGGTTTCCCCCTTAAGATTTCTTTATTCTTTTTTTTCCCCCCTCAAACCCAAATAATCAGAGTGGTACCTAACTATTTTCTTTCAGCTTGACTGAGATGAACAATTCACTTCAAAAGTGCTTTCCTTCAAATACTGATTCCAGCAATCCCCACACTAGGGTCATAATTTGAGCATCTCCCCCCATTCGGAGCATAGGAATTCTAATTTAGGGAAGGGGGGCAGCAGAGCGTTTAGAAAACTCCCTCTGTCTTTTCACTATGACTGTGGTATAGCTCGTTTGTGTGTCTGTGTCAATGGGCTCTCATTCAGTGTCACACAGATTGTTTCATGAAAAGAAAATAGTCTTCCTTCCATCTCTGCTCATCTGAATAAAATAAAACAAACCAGGGATAAGGTGAAGATGGATGCAAAGAGAAAGTGCATTTGACCGGCTCAAGTGAGATGCCTTTGGCAAACTATGGTTGATTCATGACTTTTCTTGGGCAAGTCCTATTAAACACCTTGCTCTTTTAAAACTTTGTATTACCCTGGCTTGTGATTTCCTATTTGTACCTAAAGGAGATAGACACAGTCTTAGGACAGAAGATGCTGCCAAACTACAACACCTATCAGAGGAAAGCAGTGAACTGAGGTGTGCGACAGGTCCTGGGAGCTCTGGTTCTATGGAGTGTAAGATGGGAAGAAAAGCAGCGATGGAGGGCTGGCGGAAAACACAGGAGAAGGAAGAGAATGGGGCTCAGAAGAGCATGGGAAAGAAGGATACGATGACCAGTTTCAGAGCAGAAAATGTCAGAGTGTTAATGCTGGGAATATTTGCCTCACAACACTGACAGACGCATTTTTCCACTGAAGATGCAGAATCTAAAGGGGTGAATGAAATGTCAGAGTGTGGCCCGTCAGTAGACAGAGTGTGTAATGAACAGATGGCTGGTCTTCACATTTCAGATCATCCCTGAGGCCCTTTTCAGGTTTTGGTCTTTTCACACTCATTTGCAATGCAAAGATTCTTATTTCTTCGCTGATGTACCAAACCCATTGACTACCTTCTATACATTTTCAAAGTGGCTCCACTGTCATTGTGGCAGGATTATGGAAACCAAAAGTAGAAATAACTGGGCAAGAAAACGATTCTGTCCTGCAGGTGACATGGAACACCTTCCTTTCAGCTTTTACACTGAGACCAGGGAAGTGACACTGAGACTAAGGGACAGAAAAGAATACCCTCTGAAGATATTTAGTCAGTTTCTCCCGGGCCAGGAAAGCTGAAAATCACATATTGTTGCCCAGATGAGTCTTGGAAAACCCAAAACACTGGAGTAAAAGTACAATTCACACCCATAATAATTGGAAGGGCTGTCCTGACATTTGATACCTCGAATCTCCCTCACTTTATCTGTTCAAATGAAATGACATCCAAGATCTCAGACTCCAAAATCCCTCCTCAGCTAGGAAAACCAGCAGTTTAAATTTTGTTTAGTTAGGTTCATTTTGATGATCACAACATGGATAGTTCTGGCTTCCCACACTCTTATCACATTATTTTAAAACAGAAATGTGCTTAAATGGCTGGTGTCTAACAGAAAGAGTTTCCAAGAAAGGTTTGCAAGATGAGGAGTTTGGCCAGCATCAGTACCACTAGTAAAGAGCTTTAAAAAATAAATTTACTGTTGTAAAGTTTTAAATGGCATATTCCTGTTTAAATTGGGTTCAACATGAAAGTATTGTAACATTTTTTCCTAAGTTTTCAGAGATCTCTTTATTTTTATATTAAACTATTTAAAAAGCAAAGAATAGGGACTAGAATGAGATTATAAATTCTGCCTTACTATTTTTTTTCTATTAAGATTAAAAAGCCCCAGTGTAAGTTCATTTCTTGCAGTCAGAAGTTATCTACCGTGTACAGTAATTATGGGTGAAAATGGGAACAGAAGACCACCTTTCAGAGATGGCTGGAATCACTAACAGTATAGAAGCATGTGTTTGTTTGGGATGTGAATAATGCACAACAAAAATGCTACCCCTTGGCCGAAGGGGTTGTGGGGAAGTCAAATCTATTTATTTGGAACAAAGATACCCAGACATATCGGGTACAGGTTTTTGAAAAACTCTATTTCAAATCTCTACTATAAATATTCAAAGGTATCAATTCAAACATTTCACAATTCGGACACCAGTAGGAATAAAACCCCAACTCTGCCACTACTGGTCTGTCTCTCCTTGGGTAAGCCAACTACGAACCACCTCAAATTCTTCACTTATAAAATAGAGGAGAGTTAGAAGATGATATCTAACTTTTGGCTCAAGTTTCATATTAATGGGATAAGAAGGCATCGATAAAGTTGTGTAATGTGGACAGTTTTATAATGGGAAGGTAGACGTCTAGGTATATTAAGCGGGTTCAAAGTGTTTTGTCTTGCCCTGGCCGGTTTGGCTCAGTGGATAGAGCGTCGGCCTGTGGACGCAAGGGTCCTAGGTTCGATTCTGGTCAAGAACATGTACCTTGGTTGCGGGCACATCCCCAGTGGGGAGTGTGCAGGAGGCAACTGATCGATGTTTCTCTCATCAATGTTTCTAACTCTCTATCCTCTCTCCCTTCCTCTCTGTAAAAAATCAATAAAATATATTTTGAAAATAAATAAATAAAAATAAAAAATTGGACAAATGGAAGTCATTTAGGAAGACTATTAGGATATCTTCTGCCATTTTTGCTAAGTTTCCGAGAACCCAATGAATATTAATTCCACAATCAACTGTGAATGTTATGAGTTCATAGGTACCTCCTCCTTCTGGGTGCTCTGGAGGGAAGCCTGGATGGGGCATCATGGTGTCAGGAGAGCTGGGCCATGCTTCTGAACAAGGAGGCCACGATTTGATTCCTGATGAGGGCACGTGTCCAGGTTATGGACTCCATCCCCAATAGGGGGCATGCAGGAGGCAGCCCATTGATAATTCTTTTCTCATCTTAATGTTTCTCTCTCTCTCTCTCCCTCCCCCCCCTCTGTAAAAAATCAATGAAATATATTAAAAAAAAACACACACAAAAAAACAAAGTGTTTTGTCTTTTGGTGGGAAAAAAACCACACAAATTTCCATGTGTTTTTTAGCTGAATCAATGGTAACCAGTGATCTATAAAAATAAATCAATAAAGAGGATCCTCACAGAGGTAGTAAGCTTCCTGTCAGGGAAAGTGTAATAAAGCTTGGTGATCAGTGTTGTGATTGTAGGGGGAAAAATGCAGTAGTGGTTCTCAAATGTTATCATGCATCAGAACCTCCTGGGAGGGCTTATTAAACTACAGGTCGCTGGACCAATGCCCAGTTTCTGATTCAGTAGGTCTGGGGGTGGGGCAAGACTTTGTATTTCAAGTTCCCTGCTAATGCTGCTGCTACCGATCCAAGGACCACTCCTGAGAACCACAGAAATATAACACTGGAAAGAAGGCAAGTTCGATGAGCACTGAGGTTCTTTTCTCAGTTTAAATTGAATCAGGTATATTTATTTATTGATATGGATATATAGATAGATATGAATTAGAAAGCTAAGAGGTTAGATTAAACCAATCATTCAATAATCACACAATACAGATATTGTTATTATTACTATTATTATTCAAGGCTGGAAGACGTGAAAAATAATTAGGAATTACATAAGGGTTTTCATTAAGACATTATAATAAATATTTGGAGGGTTGAACAAGTTAGTAGTATTCCTGTATTGAGAGGTGATCAAAGATCAAACTTAAAAACTGACCTTCAAAACAAAACAAAACAAAAAACAAAACAACTTAAGGGACACCTCACATTTCTCTTGTGCAGACACACTAACACATAAAAATGTTCACTTCACCTTAACAACAAACAAAACTCAGAGAGTGGTTTTAATGCCTTCTAAATTTAGCTTTACATAAAGATAATGTCTTATCTTCTTATGCAGACAATCTTTTTCTCCCAGAATCATTTTAATGTCAATTTACTTTATATATATGTAGGCTTTATCCATCTTTTATTTGCCAGGTATCATCTTTATATCCAACCTCCACCCTTACCCCCTCAATACCTGCAAAGTCTACCCATATCTTGTTTTTTTCTTACTGAGCATGAAAGGGGTTTATTCTCTATTCCTCACCTGTCAGGTTTACTGCTCCATTTTAATGCAGCAAAAAATAAAAAAATAAAAAAGAAAAGGAAAAAGAAAGGCTAAGTGTTAGTTGGCCAATGGTAATAAGAGTAACCATGACAACCAAGGTTTAACAATGCTCACAGGTAGGGACACATAACTTACACACATTAGCAAATGACAGCATATCAAAGTATTTAAAGACCTCTAATCATAAAGTAAATGGAGGACACGAGAGTACATCACTAAATAAAGCATTTAGTGTCTTAATGTTATATTAGCTTTTATCCATCCATTTACAAAATACTGCCATGATTAATTATATTCCCAGAAGTCTTTGATGGTAGAGTTATAATTTGATTTTTCTGTAACACACCATGAAAAACTATTAATGTACTTACTGGGAATACCACATTATTCCATATAAGAAACGTGTTCATTTAAAATAAAGAGTTCTCAGTTAAGAGGTAGGTCATTCCCTTAATGATCTAAAAATACTTGCAAGTTGCACTGGACTGCACAAAAATTTTCACAACTGCATGATACATCATGAGGTAATACAGTGGTAGAAATTTCTTCAAATACCTTTTGACAAGTCAGGTGATCATAAATCTCTTTTCCAATAAAAGACTAAATACATTTAGTTTTGGAAAAAGTAATACTCATCATTATAAATCTACAGAGATCGCCCATCTGTGTAGCTGGGCTAATCCAGAAACGTATTTAATACCATTCATTGACATGATAGATATTTTCAAAGAGGCGCTGCTGTCTGTGAACACACTGAGGTCATGCTCACAGACACGTTCACCTGTGATAATATGTAGACTATTTAAATAACCATGTTCTTTCTGAAGAGAGTATATCTTTTACATGTTAAGAAGTAATCTGAACAATCTTCATGTTGAGGCAAATTGCAAGTATTAAGTAAGTTCTCAATTATAAAAATAAAGGTACCGAATCTTCCTTAATGCCAACAAAATATACACTCATGTTGTTAGAATATCTGGCTTTAGGATACCTTAGTCCATATATTTTCAAAAATACAAAAGCCACATTTAAATATTACAAAACACATATAAGGAGAATAATGAGGATGATATCAAACATACTGGTTAATTCTTTTCTTAATTTTAAAGTGATTTACCTGGCAGTGCCAGGTTTTAAAAAATCCTACAAATATGTCTCTAACTTGCTCATTATTTAATCAATGAGGTCATCAGTTGCAGGAAAATCTATCCCTCTGAATGGAAGAGAGCCACTTAGTGAACTATCAGTTCTGTGTATTAAAAGGCTGTTGATATTTACATGAATATGTAGTGTTCAGTTCACTTCCTCTTCCATAGAAATGTCAGCCTCACCACATATGGTTACACATTTGGTAAAATGTAGACATTTGAAGGCTTTTGAAACCAGTATATTTAAATTATAGGTTAGGGTTTTATTACAGCTCTTTCCAGCCAAGATAATGGTGATGTATTGAGGGATGGAGTAAACAAGTGAGGGAACTGAGTTTGTTTAAGGCTCTTTGGCTTGTATAAATCTGATCATTCAGTACCCCTGTGTGCCATGCACCAGTTTAGCACAAAGGATCAGACAGAGTCCTTAACCTACACTATGAGGGACAAGAAAGCTAGAAAAAGGGGGGCAATTGCAACAGTGTGGTAGATTCTACAATAGATAAGTAGAAAGTGCTGGAAGAGCTTAGAAAAGGGGACCCTAAACAGCTGGAACTGGTACAGAGGAGAGGACAAGAGGGAGGCAGGTAGACAAACCCTGGGTACAGAAATATTATAGTACATATTTTATTAATTGGTGTTTTCTCATCATAGAACATTGTTATTTAAAACGTTTAATTATCTAGCCTACCTACTTGTTTTATAAATGAGGAAACGGAGACCCAGAGTGTTGGCATGACTTTCTACCCCATATAGCTAGCTGGTCACAGAGCTGGGACTTGAACTCAGTTTTACTGATTCCTAGTTGAGTGTTTTTCTAACCCTTGCTACCATCTTATGTCTGTAGTTTACATTTTAAAAGCAATGTACATGTCACACAGAGAATAACATTTCAAAAAAATCATAGTGCAAGGTAATTTCTAACACTAAAGACCTAACAAACATATTTTCATTTTCTGATGATTCGGAAGGCATTTTAGAGCCCTTACAAAACCTGTGTGATACTGTTTTGTCACTGGTTATCACTGTATTATAGGTTTACAAATGACTAGGTTAAAAACAAAGTCAATTCAACAACCTATGTATAAACTGAAAGGATGAAGTATTTATTACATAATTAACTTTGCTCAGAATCCAAGCTATAAAAGACACCATTCATTGCCTACAGAAGATTTCCTCTTGAACTGCTTCACGATAATCAAGAAGGACATTGTTGGGTCTATTTGAATTTCAAGTCAGGAATGTGCTTTACTGCTGAAGCAAGCATTTCTATTTCAGAATGCTTCACGGGCCTTCAGATGGTTAGCTAAATATACTTAGCATTCGAGGATGTGTGCAGCTTCCAACAATTGCATTAGACGATGCTCACACATGCACACACTAAAATGCGACTCTATTTTATCTGAGTCATAAAACCTTTACATTTGAGGCCCTTTTTTTTGCAGGACTAGGAAAAACTGTAACTGAGTTGACTTTTTCCAAGCACATCAAAGAAAGAATGAAAAACTTAATTATAAATGTTAACAATGATCAAGGTTAAAATCCTATGTCTTCACATTTACATAACCAACTCATAGATCTCTTGCACACCTCTGTTCAGTGACCTGATTTAAGGATAGTCAGATATATCCGCATGAAACACAATTTTAAAAAAATAAGACAATCATTTTGTCCATTTTGCAGAATCACAAAATGTCATGTGATAGGGTCTAGAACTGCAACTGCCAGCAAGCACATGTTTTCTGATCTGATTCCCACAGTAGGATGTGGTAACCTAAACAAATATTTCACGGAAAACAATTACAATTTACTCTTGCTTTTAATTATTGTATTCTCTTTGGGTAATAGGTGCAGCACATGAACAGCAAAGGCTACCGGCTCCTGCTTGCATTCACCCATCTGTGACTGCTCCGGGGCATGTGGTTATCTCCCGTTCCTGCTCTTACCTCTTGTACAAGACAGGCAATCAAATGCAATGCACACTGATAAGACACAAATGGGGATGAGAAGGCTGAAACCATCAACTAAGAGGAGATTTTGGCCTTCAGTCACTTGCTATTTTATGACACGGATAACTGAGTGACCACAGTGACCAGGGAAAAATCATGATGGGTATCTCTTTCATTTTTTCCAGCTCTAAAATAGGATATGCAATTTAATCTGTCATGGTCGTGAACTTCTTTCTTTAATTTGTCCTTTTATTTCCTTAGCCCTCTCTTCACACTGAAATAAAATGGAATGCTGCTTCATAAGAGAAAGTTTTTTAGAGAAGTGTCTGGAAGGATATACTCTTGAGTCAAGAGAAGAAGTTATACAAAGTAAAATAAAGGCTATTCCAAGAACATAAGGGCATATTTACAAAAGGAATTTTTGTAAAGAGGTTATTAATGTAAAAGAGGTAATTAATGAAGGGAATTATATGGATAGGAAAAAGAAATACTGGAAATAGATGATCAGATTAAGCATGTAAGCAAGAATGATGATGAAGAAACTCCCATCTGATCTTGAAGGTCAAGGTTGTAAGGAGAGAGAAAGGCAGGGAAGGAGGGTAATGGGAGGGAGAGGAAAAGAGAGAGAGAATGATAGAGGCAAGATCGTCAGAGTATTCTGAAAGATGACACACTACAAAGGAAAATGGGAACACAAAGTTTCATGAAATAAACTTAAATTGGAAGAAAAGTTGATATAAAAGCAGATAATTCAGAATTTAGTCATTCTAAATGTTTAAGTTAATGTATTACATATGTTAATTTTTATAATTTTACCTACTTATAATTTTGAAATTCTATTTTTAAGTCTAAAAGTATTTAGAGGTAGAATTATTAATATTCTTCCTTCTGAATAAGCAGCGATCTAGGGAGAAACATCTTGCTTCTATGTAATAAAGGCAGAAATAAAATTTAAAAAGAGTGGATAATCAGAAAACATGGGGTCGATGTGAACTGTTTGTATCCTAGTTGTAATCAGAGACACTAACTCAGACTGATATTTGGGAGTATAAAACTGAGGTTAATTTTATAAAAAGAAAATAGTACTTGACATTCCTCTTTGGACACCAATGAGGATTCAGTATTGAAAATGTGGAATAAGGGTTAGAAGAAAAGCAGGAAGGAAAAAGGTTATTTGCCTTCTCTAGTCTTCAAATGTTTGCTCCTTGGCTAAGTTCTGAGAAACAGCTACAGGAGAAAATCTCAGCACACGTGCAATTTCAGTTATGAAATGGACGCAAATGTGCACATTTGTAGTTTCAAGAACCACCCTGAAACTGAGCAATTAATCATTTAAAACAATCAAATGCAAGCTTGTGTGTAATCATCTACTTGTGAATGTGCTAGTGTCTCAAATGTCATGCAAAGTGCTCATACTGCATAAAATACTCAGGAGACAGAGGCTAGGATTAGGGCATGCTGGGCAACAAAGTCTATACCGCACACACTGAATGGGATTAAAAATAGTATAGTTTTTACATTTTGTTCTAGCTCTAATGTAACCACATTCCAATGATTCCTGGAGCTACAGTGAAGTATTTCTACTAAAATCAACCACATAATGACCGCAGAAGGATTATTAAGTCTTCAAATATAAAGAGAGCCCTCAAGATCACAACAGAAATATTGGGCAAACCTACCTTTTATAAAGAAGAATAGCTATAACAATGCAGATGATAAAGACCACCGCAAGGACAGGGCCTACGACCCAGATTAAGCCTTCTTCTTCATCGGTGATTGGCTGTGGATCCAGATCCATTGACACAACAGGGTCGGAGTAGGGACTGGTTGCATACATCTTCTGAGGAAAAACAGAGTCTATGTTAGTTACCAGCTAATGTCTTTCTGGTGTATATCTTTTGCATTAAAAGAGGCAAAAATCTGAGATAGTGGATTTGATAGTGTGTGAAACAATGTTAGTAAATATAAAGGAGGAGAGGGGAGAGGAAAAGGGGAGGAAGGAAAGAGGGGGAGTAAAGAGGCTTGGCAATTTAAATTTCCTTATATGGTGTAGTATTTTATCATAAAATCATTTTAGATAGTATAAATTACTCCAGATATACTTTTTCATTGGGGTCTATCTATGGCATATTAAGTGATTTATGAAGTATGGTACTAGTAATTAACCAGTGTGCCAACGTGTTCCATGCTATGTGAAAATCAACAGGAATAATTAACTCCAGCTCTCAAGACATTACCACTCAGTTAAGGAGACCACATTTATAAACTAAAAATTTATAGAGCAAAATATTACTATTTAATTAAATGTTAAATTACGTAAGTCATTCTTAATACTTAATGTATATTAGTTAGGAAATAGAGGGCGAATAATGGACAAAGTCTACAACTTCAGAAGAGAGGTCCAATGTCCAAATTATAGATGCAAGATGTATGAAACTGATGCTATGGCTTTCCAGAACATAGAATTTTTATAACTTAAAAGGATTTAGCAGTTCCCATTCAATTTTATTACAGCAACTGTGATTGTTCTCAACTGATACAGAAAAAGAGAACCCTTATACAGGGCTGGGGGGAATGGAAATTGGTACAGCCCTTATGAAAAAATAGTATACTGGCTCCACAACACATTGAAAATAGAACTATCACACAATCCAGCAATCCCACTCCTGGGTATATATTCAAGGAAAATGAAATCACCATCTCAAAAAAGTATCTGCACACCTGTGTTCACTGCAGCATTATTCACAATATGTAAGATATGGAAACAGCCTAAGTGCCCTTCGATGGCTGAACGAAAAAAAAAAAATCTGTACACACACACACACACACACACGTGTACAATGAAATAGTATGCAGCCACAAAAAAGGAAAACCTGCCATTTGCAACAGCATAGATAAGTCATTCCAAGGGCAGCGAATAGAATGGTGATTGCCAAAGGCTGGCGGGAGGAAATGGGGAGATGTAGGTCACAGGATACAAACCTTCAGTGATAAGAAGAATAAGTTCTAGGATATATGGACTTCCTGGTAACTATAGCTAATAATACAGTATTATATGCTTGAAATTTGTTGAGAGTAGATCTTAAGCATTCTCACCCCATTCAAAAGAAAAGATACTATGTGAGATGATAGATGTATAGATGTGCTAATTATCTTGATCTTGATAACCACCCCACAATGTATGTGGATATCAAATCATTATTTTGTACACTTTAAACATATACATAATTATACATGTTAATTTTTCCTTAATGAATTTGAAAAAAAATAGTTACTCAGTGAAAGAAAGGACTGAGTGTCTATGAATTTAGCTTTTATAATATTTTTCTGCCCTATTTTAGCCTATATTAAAATTATTCTCTTAACTCTGCCCCCTTTTAAGGCCTTATCTTTTCCTTTTCCAATAGAGACCTGCATCTAAACGGCTGCCCCTTCTCTCCTACCACTCGCTTCTCATCTCTTCTCACTCCATCATTGGTCCAAGTCAATTATTTGCCAAATCAAATTGTCATTATTCATTTCTTACCCTTCCAGACATCTTTTCCAGATGTGCTACAGTTGATTAAGCCTTCTTTAAAATTCCCTCCTCTGGTTCTCTTCATTCTGTACTCACCTAGTCCCTTCCTAACCTTGCCAACTGAGTTCATTCCTCTGCATCCATTCCATGCCAGCATTCTTACATTTTATTTTCTGCTGGTCTCTCTTCCTCTCCCTAAGCTGGCCAGGTCATCCCCAGCCTTAAATACCAACCTCTACACAGATTACTTTCTCACTAATGTTCCTAAACTTGGAATCTCTTCTGAGTTCCAGACCTTCATTTCCAATTGTTTCTAGAGATTCCTAAATGAATCCCCAAGTTAAGAATTGCATGTGTGTTACTTCCCTACTTCCCAGGCATACGCTCCTTCTGACCTGCCTTTTTCTCTCACCCTCTCAATAGCTAGGAATGAAACACTGCTGATTTTATATGACCTAGGTCCACCCAAGTCCATTCACTTTCTTTCCAGTCTCATAAGTACCACTTTTCTTCACGACCTCATTCTTACTCATTCAAATCATATCAAGAATTTCTTCCTTCCTTTAACAGTCTCTACTGCCAATAGGGTAATTCTCCTAAACCACAGCTATGAAACCTTTAGGAGGCTCTCAGGCGATTCCTGAATAAAACCTAGACATCTTAGCATGGTCCTTAAGAGACTTCACATTTTTTTTAAACTTCCTTACCACATACAACATATTCCATCACAGCGAACTTCTTGTTTCTACTCCCTACATGCTCTATTCTCTCTCTTTAACCCTCTTACAAGTTCCACAACATTTAGCTCCGAAGCTCTACTTAAATACTGCCTTCAATGAAGCTAACTTTCCTTAATTGAAAATACCAATTATTCCACAATTGTAGGAAATAATAATTTTTAAAATTTTTGCCAGTCCTTTTTAATGGCACTTTTTTAAAAATCTGTGCATATGTCTTCTTTTCTTTAGTGAAACTATAAACTTCTGGAAGACAGGGATTTAAATACTATTTGTGTACCTACTTAAAGCAGCTAGCCCACAACTTTGCAATGGTGAGTTCCCAACAAATCCTTGTTGACTAAAATAAAATGTTCACCTGTTCAAATGGCTGTCATTAACAAGGTATAAAATAATATGCTCATTTATTCCAGGATCAGTAAATATATTTAAATTTTTAAGATGCATTTTAAAAATTTGGTTAAAGACACAAATTCTCAGTTTAAATGCGATAAGTTGAGCAGTCCAGCTGGTTCCCACATGCCCACTACGTGTTTGTTAACTAGTTTCCCTTCACATTTCCTCACTGTGCTCAGAGAAGACATCAATGGGACTAGGAGATTTCTAATGCATCAAAAAAGACAACTACTCAGTAAATCTTCTCAGAAGCAGGTAAGAAAAAGATATGTACAGCGTAAAGGTTTACACAAAGGACTTGACAAATACACTAAATATCCAAGAAGCATGATTCTTCACATGCATATAATTGTTTTGGTTCACACTTTCCCCTTTCCATTTGTTGGTCAGACTCAAACTGTTGGGCAAAGGTAAGAGAACTCTGACTTGAAATTCTTTACCAAGAGCCTTTGAGATAATACTCTTGGTGAGCCAAGATGGAAATCTAAGCAGAGGTTTTCCCCAAGGCACATAGCTCAGGAACCAGTGATGTGTAAAGTCAAAGGAAAACAAAACCATATAATGACACCAGCCTTGTGAAAGGCAGAATTTGTTCAGTGTGTGGGGGTACCAGAAAAGACCAAACCTATGGTCATTTTGCACCCATTCTCCTAGGATCTTGATATAAATCCATGGATTGAGGTAGAGTTTCTGTCTTATTGAAGGGGGACATTTTCTCTATGCAAATTATCAGTCTACCCTTGGTAGTGTTTAGGTGAATTAACAATCATTCCTAAAAATAGAGGCTTACAAAAGGACGGTATCACTCCTAACATTACACTAGCTAAGTAAAGGCAAGCCTGAAAACATATATGAAACATAAAAGCCATGCTGTTAGCTTTGAGAGCACCACTGAGAAAGATGAAGAAAAAAAGGGACAATTCAGATAACATATTTGGGGAAAATGCTAATTACATAATGAATGAAACAGTGTGTTGACACACACCGGAAGGTGCAGATGCTTCATCACTGGTGATGCATTTGAACACGAGTAAAAACATCTGGGAGACACTAGAAATCAGAGCTCTGACTGTGGTACTAACGGCCTACTGATCTCATGAGATTTCTCCTCTTTGCTGGATTCTCTGATCTACCTCAATGGTCTGAATTTGCTTTCTGAAACATCCTAGAGCTATTTAAAGAAAATTACTTTCAAATATCTGAGTCCTTTTTAAAAAATTGAAAGGATGATTTCCAACATTCCGTTCCCTTGATGTTTTGCCTTAGAACCTTCAACTAGAGAGAGGAAGCATAGCCGTGCATTAAAATTCCAGGAAGCCCGTCGCTTTGTTTTCAAATGACATTCTGTGCACAAAGGTAAACCAGACAGAAAGGCTGCCTTTGTGTTTTGATTTTCCACGGGGGGAACCCTTCAGTCATTTGAAGAGAAGCCCTCCTGCACATGCTCACACCTGATGTGGAGAAATCTCAGGTGTCTTATACAGTAGTGACTGGCTCAACGGAGTTGCCACACCTGTCAGTGTTAGGCCCTAATCGATGAACAGAGGGCACACAAATACCTAATGAAATGATTCTTGATGTTTATGATCCCCTTGCTTCACATTACCAGCAGGGCCTGGACCAGATTGGTCATCAGTTTGAAAACAGGCATGGAAAGACACAGTTTAGAATAAGTATATTAAATGTGAACTGCCACTTCACGAGCGCCCCCCACCCCCTTCCCATCTCCTCTTTCTCTCTATTTAACATTCAAAACAACTGAAGCATACAATGACATAAGAGCAAGATGAATTACATAAAAGAAGACAACTCATTATTTAGAGTACATTCGAATTCTGTTTTATTGACTGATTTTCTAACTTTCGGGCTGCTCTCTGATAAAGTCACTGGTAAACTGCTGCAATGAAAGAACTTGGCTGGGCCTGCCTTTTCCTAGACTGAGCTTCCCTATGAATTAGGATAGAGAGCGCTGTGGGCTCGCTGGCAGTCATAGGAGAGTAAATACAATCACCCCCTGCTAATATGTTCAGATACCTGCAAATACCTCGTGTGTAAATGCAGAGCTTGCTCCTACTGTAATCATACAGGCTGGTGTCTACTAGGTATTATACCAGATTTTCTTAAAATAACAGTCATTTTAAAAGGATGAGGAAGGATATGTGAGGATGAATGGCTGTCACCCTCCTGTCAATACATGTGTCCCATGGAAAGGTCTCGGGAACCATGCCCGAACCATCTGGCACTTCATAGATTAGAAGTCCCCGAAGCTCCCTGCTAGAGACACGGCCCTGTTTGTAAGGAAAGCTCAAGCAGATGACCCAGCAGTGTTCCCACAGCAGGCCACTGTTACCGCGTTAACAACAGCTCATGGAAATAATTAGGATGGATATACTAGTACCTACGCATCCCCAAATAACCAGGTTCTGGCGAAAAGGTATAGAATTCCATAGGAAATAGATGGTATCCCCCCAAAAATGTATACACACTTTAACACAGATAATTCACTTAACGTTGACTCCTTTTCAGGTTTAATTGATTTGAAATAATGAGTGAAGCCAGACTAAGCTCTGAACAAAGAAAATTCATCCTAAAGTGCCACTAGACATTTTTTAATTGTAATACATAAAAGATAAAGTGTACAGTACAAAATCGGCAACAGTCGGCGAACAGAGGGCACACAAATACCTAATGAAATGATTCTTGATGTTTATGATTCCATTGCTTCACATTACCAGCAGTGCCTGGACCAGATTGGTCATCAGTTTGAAAACAGGCATTGACCAAAAAAAATAAAAAAAATAAAAATAAAATTGTTCATTTCTGTAGATTCTTCTAAATTTTGAAAATGAACTGTATGTTAATAAACCCTGACTTTGTAATCATTCAAAGTGAGTATACATTTTTGGGGAGCACCCTGTAGATGCCAACACAGTTAACTTACAGACTCTGCGTGCTCCATCACTGCTAACACAAAGAAGACATATTCTTGACCACTTTGGAGTTGCTTGTTTGTAAATCCTCCATAATGTTTGTCATCTCCCAGGGTGAACTCCGTGGGAAGGACATCAAAGTGAGCGGCTATATATGGCTTTAATTCAACTTCTCTCCCGTAACGGAGGCTTCTGCGTTTCCTGGATATCTCTTTAAGCAGCTAAAAAAAGTGGGAAATAGAGAAAGAAATGTAAACAATAACAACCCAACTTGATGGTGGTTTCATGGGAGAAGTTAGTTCAGGACTGGGAACAGCCCAAGGGCCACTTGTTCACTCTTCACGAAGCACAAAAGCATCCCTAGAACCTCAGTTCTCTCTTGCAAATGCGTGTCTTGCTGTCAAGGTCAGAAACTGGCCTGGTATGGCAAGGCTCTGGCTACAGACATAAGACAATTAGGTCCTTTAGTGGTGGCTCCTATCATTGTCCGCCCCAGTGAAATCTTTTCAAAACGCAAGAGTGCATTAGAACTTGTCTAAAGAAAAAGCCAGCTTGAGTCATAAAAGCTTGTTAATTTGGGCTGTATTGTTACTTATTAAACAAGTACTAAACTCAGATAAAGCCACCTAAATTTTCAATTATTACTAATTTTTTTTAGAGAGATGAGTGCCATTTCAGATTGTTTTTAATAGTGAGGTCATTTACAGGCTGCAAATTCCCTCAGATCTGCAGGAATAAAATCTGATGCCTGATTTTTAACTGACAATAATAAATAGATATTATTTATTTAACAACTTCCAGCTTGATTTGCTCTTTAATTTAGGTACGTATAAAAACTTAATGACAAAAATACTGTCTACCCTTGTTTTTAAAAATCTATTCTATAATAATAAAAGGGTAATATGCTAATTAGACCGGATGTCTTTCAGGACAAAGCAGGGGCTGCAAGGGAAGCCAGGGGAAGGAAGGCCTACTCTTGCACAAATTTTGTGCATTGGGCCTCTAGTAGAAACAATAATAGTAAAAACCAAACGAGTGATATCTACTTAGTGGAAAAAGACCCTAGCATAAGCAAGGCCAGACTTCCGTGATAATAACGGCTGCAGGTTGTACATATGACAAACACCAAACCTTTATGTCAGGAACTGGTAGTAAACTATAGTCTCTTCTACACAGAATTTAAAGTGTGCTCTGCTGGTTTAAAATGATAACCTAAAGAAGTGTGAGAAAGTCTCTTGGTTATATAATCTGTGCTGTTATTTTTGAATAACTTTTCACTTATAATATTCTCACATTTTCTGTGAAATTTGAGTTTATTGATATAATTGGAATTACATGAAATATAGGCTATTTGCCCTAACTGGTTTGGCTCAGTGGATAGAGCGTCGGCCTGTGGACTCCAGGGTCCCAGGCTCGATTCCAGTCAAGGGCATGTACCTTGGTTGCGGGCACATCCCGAGTAGGGAGTGTGCAGGAGGCAGCTGGTTGATGTTTCTCTCATCGATGTTTCTAACTCTCTATCCCTCTCTCTTCCGCTCTGTAAGAAATCAATAAAATGTATTTTTTAAAAAAAGAAATATAGGCTATTTTATGAAAACCGTATTAGATTTAAGCAGTTAAAAAAAGTGGGTAATAGAGAAATGTAAACAATAACCCAACTTGATGATAGTTTCATTAGCTGTTTAGCAAATTTTGACCATCTGATGATAGTGATAAATTCAGGTATACTAATCAATTATGTACTGTTTGGGTTATAGTAAATCAAGGCCAGAAACCTGGTAGTATCTTTCAATTCTGTTGTCAAATTTAGATTTACTCATAAGGATGATGAAAATGACAATAGCTAATATTTATTAAGCACTTACTAGGCACTGTTTTCAGAGCCTAAACATGTTGTATTAGTTCATTTACTCCTTATAATAGCCTTATAATTTAGGCTAGTATTGTCCCCTTGATAAATGAGGTAACTGAGGCATAATAGGAAGTGGCAATATATAATTGGACTCAATTGGTGAAATAAAATGAAATTACATGTAAGAGATTTTTAAACCATACTTTTTGTTTACTTATTAGTTGCACAACATCAAGGAAACAAACCCAACAATTAAGGTAAATTGATCATCTAAACTGTTTTAACTCAGTCTGTATTTAGACAAATATAAATATTGTACATCTGCTTTCATTATCACATGTTAGTGTGTATTTAGATTTCTTTTTCCTGGATTCTTTTTACATGTTATTTTAAAAAATCCCGAGACCATATATTTAATGCTACACTTGAAAAGTCATTGCAAAGGTTACTGTTGATAGGCAGTAAATGATGGTCCATGACGTGGAGAAGGACAAATGCACTGCAGATGAGCTGAACAGCTTTTTGAAGTTGGTTAATCAGAAACATTTACCATCAGTTGTTTATGTAACTGCTCCCTTCTTCTACTTCACTGATCAAGCCCTACCTTGATTTTCTTTATATTTCAGATGTAAGCAACTGTCATCATTCATCCATATCACTGTCATCCCCGTGAATACCTTTTGCTAGGGTTTTTTAGACGATTTCGAGGAGGTATGTTAGGGAAAAAAGTGTGTGCGTTTGGTGCTCTTTAGAGCCAATGTGGCCATTCATTAAGGTCAAACCTGGAAAAATCAACTCTGTCCCTGCAGGTTGCTCTAATCTCTGCAGGATGCTTCCTGTGTTATACTTTAAATGAGTCATGTATGCTTAGAGGGCACTGGAGTTAGCCAGTAGGAGTATGCTGGAGTTAAAACCACAAATAAGCACATTATTTTACAGCAAGCTTTTAAAGTACAATGCGATGAAAAGCTTATGATATATTCCAAGACCTGCCCTGAATGAAATGTAACTGACATTTTAGGACTCATTCTGCCCCAAGTCCATTTTGACTATCAATTTCTACTCTGCCCAGTCTGACTTTGACAATAGGAGTTCCGACTCTATAAATTTATTATGGGGAAATTGTCCCCAAACAAAGGACACATGTTCTCAAAAAAATAACATTTAGAGTAAATCTGTTTAGAAAGCTTCTTTTCATTTTTTATGGGCCTAGAAGTGAGGCATACGCTGGAACTCCCCTTAGGCCACCATTCTATTTATTAATATTAATTGTTTGAACAATTTGAATTATACACTGTTCTAAGAAAATCACTTAGTCAAATACATTTAAGAGAGGAATACTGCTTTGTCAAACCTGGCAATACCAAGATATAGATAAAATTACTACAATGCTTTTATTACCCATGGTAGGGAAAAAAAAGAAATGAAAAGCTTTCTGCAGGGATCAGAAACGGAATGAGTAAGCATAGAGGAGGTTGCAGCCTGCTTTCCTTTGCTCCCCTCCATGGTAGTTCCAAGATGTATTGGAGGTATTTCTGGAAGATATATCAAGGGCTTTGGTTTTTTTTTTTTTTTTATCAGAAATAATTTTCATTTTCCAGTCAATGCATATCTTATTTCTTCCACCATTAATTCTACAATGTGGTCTCAATTTTATCAGTAAGAAAAGTGGGTAACAACCCATCCTGACCCCCACATTTTGAATTAATAAATGTTCTTTATCAAACTATTATACAGATTAATGTACCACAATGTGTGGGATGATTAAAATGACCCTTTGTTATGGGAATCAGCGGCACAGACCCATAGAGTTTAATTGCAAGAAAGTTCAATGTCATATAGCGCTATACTTCAATGCATTAGCATTGCTGTGCATTCTGGAGGTTGGAAAAGAGAATCAGCTTCATAGTACTTATCACCCAGTGGCTTCATTTATAAGGAAATCTTATTATTTATATCATACAGATAATGAATTATAGAAATGCAGACTTGAAACCTATACGTTCCCATTAACAAATGTCACCCCCCCCCCCAATACCTTTTGGAAAATAAAAAATTAAAAGTATTTGATGTCCTTGTTGGCCTGGATCTTAATTCCTTGAAAACTAAAAAAAAAAAAAGTAGAAAGACTCAAAGATTCTATAAATCGTCTTTGCATTTTAAATCCAAATCCAACTGAGTTTTATAATTCAGCTGAGAATTGATAAAAATAATAAAGAATATTTCAGGATTAACTGATTCAAAATGTTGACAGAAGACCAGCTGACCATTTTGCACATTCAGACGAAGGATAACTTTTCCTCTGACATCATGGGAAAATGATTTATTCCTTTATTATCAACAGAAAAAAAAAGATTTATAACAAATTACTTGACAACATTATTCAAATGATGTCTCAATTTATACTCCTCCAATGCTCATCTAATCACCACACAGTGACACAAAAGCATAATCCTAACCTTGAACTCATCTCCCCTTCTCCACTTGAGTTTAACTCAGATACATGAAGTGGATGATGATGAATTCACTTCTAGAGATGACATATGTCTGCCTAAAGCAGCTACCAGCCCTCACCTGTCAGATCACTGCCTTCTTAGTGCAGACATGTATGAAACAAACATCACTCGCCTGTAATGCAGCTAAAGAATTTCTGCTTTTCCTTGCTTGAACTAATTTGAGGTAGGGAAAATACCTAGAAATTACAGGTTGGGTGATAATATAAATAATCTCGATAAATTAAAATCTCCCATTTCCCCAAATGGGAGCCTTTTTACTTGCCTTCTGAACTGATTCAAACCAGCGTCACATGAAAAGAGCAAAGTCTCTCTTAGATTTCAAATCTGAACCCCAACCATTAACTTGCTGTGGCCTTCGGCTGGCTTAATACTCCCGAGCACAGCTTTTTCATCTCACTAGATGTATATAATAATTAGGTATTGTGGACAACTTCATACTAACTTAAAAAACAACAACCAAATGTTCTTCCTGCAAAAAGAGTATAAATTAAAATGTACTCACTCCTGTGGTATGATTTCGGAAATTAAAATAATACTCATTTAATATCTGCTCTATTTTTAGCACTATTTTCTTCCTTGGATCAAAATTTTGTGATTTTTGTTGTTGCCCGCCCCTGTGGTTAAGTGTGATTTTGATTCTGATATCCTACAGAATACAGAATAAGGCAAACATAAGCTAATCAGCACAATTCTGTGAGAAACTGGTCAAGGATCTATAGTGGGTCAAATGTTGAATTCTGCTGCAAAATGCAATTTAACATTTTTTTGTAACAGCCTCAGCTACCATTGCATTAATGAAGGGGACTTTGGAATTCATAACATTGGTGATGAAGCCTGTGCTGACAATTCACTCACCTTTTACACCTCTGCATCATGTTTTACAAAGGGCAAGGGGCAAAATACTAAAGCCAATGAAGATTAGACAGGTTGTAAGCTTTATTGCAGCTTAATGTGTTTTAATTAAAGCTAAAGGCTCTTTGTTGTGATCCCTAGAGGTTAACACACCCATAGCACTGCACTATCAGAACAGCCAGCTGACCAGCCGTGCAGAAGTCAGTAACTGGATTGGATGCTGAAAGGACTCTGTAGAGAGGAGGAGAATGTTTAATAAATTAAAGAACCAGTGAAAGACACTGCCAACAAAGACACACTTACCTCATCTAATTCCATTTCATCTGGACTCTCCCATGGCTTGATAAATTTCCCACGAGATTTCTTCAAAGGCACAATTATTATGTAGTAACCTCTGCACGAGAATCGGTAGACAAAAATAAGTTAGTTCAGGGAGAAAAGTAAATGGATATATCTTAAGTCTTCCACAGACCAGTGATTGAGACAGAAGGCAAATCACGGAGATGGAGGAACTTGTCCATCAATGACAAAGAACCACCTGTTCCTTCAATTTTAAAAACAACATGTGTAGATATTTATGTGTGACTTCAATGAGCTTATATGGTTAGATCACCATGGTTGACTGCTCTTTATTAGTATCATAAACAGGATGGGAATACTTTGTTAGGACCCTGGTGCTGGACACATACAACGCTGATATACTAAAATTGACTAATACAAGCTGCTTAACAAAATATTTTCTATGATGGCAATTTAGAAGATAACTTTTTAAAAGGGAAATGTGTAAAAAAGTTACTCTTAGTTTATACCATGCTTATATTCTGATAATGATAATTTTATTCACATACCCCTAAAAAAAGTTAAAAGCAGAAAAATTACTCATAATCTTGTAATAATTATATGAAGATATTAAAAAGCTCCCCTTTCTAGCTATCAAATGGTAAACCTAAAGGTAAGTGTGGCAGAAATTTGGAGATAACCACTATCTAAGGGCCTTCAACATAGATCTCAATGTAATACATCTATAGGAAGAGGCGAAAGTAACTGAGTTCTCCAAATGAGAATAGCTGACTAAAATTTAAGTCATGTATAAAGTTACCTGTCACATATAGATGTAGGCTATTTGTAAATAAAATAAAATAAAATTGTAACATCCATATAGTCTATACTCTGCCCTTGTATTCATGGTTAGGAACTAGTTAATACCAATCTGCAGTAGTAAGTATACAATGACTTTGCAATAATGGCTAACACATTAATCACTTCCTACTGCCCAGGTATTATATTAAATGCATCATTTCATTTTGCCCCCTCACAAATCCTATAATAGACAGAGAGACAAATTGGTAAAATTGCGGCCCCAGTTAAAACAGATAGTAGAGGGATACAAATCTATGTATATCTTAATCTTAGCAATAATCTCCCCCCCACTCCCACCCCCAAATTCCCCCTCTGTATCACATAATACTAAGGACTCCATAAATTTTGTGGAGATTTTTGAAAACACACATACACTTTCAGAAGAGAAGGCTGCCACGCAGGGGAAGGGCACTAACATTATATCACAGAGGCCAACAGCACACACAGGAAGCCTCTTCCCAGGTATCTCAGAGCAAAGCCTGCAATCAGCTCAGCACACCCTCCTTGGTAAAGAACACCGTTTCCATCAATGTCCCGTGCGGTAACCAGTAGCCTGTGTGGCTGTGGAGCACCGGGAATGTGGCTAGTCTGAAGTGAGGCTTGCTCTCAAATATAAAAGACATGGATTTAAAGACTTAATATGGAAAATGAATGTAAGGATCTCAGTAATAATTTTTAATAGTCATATGTTAAAATGATAATATTCTGGATACGCTAAATAAAAAATTAGTTTCTCCTCTTTCTTTGTACTTCTCCCGTAGCGGCTAGAAAATTTAAAAATCTCACATGTGGCTCTTGTTATATTTGTTGGATGGTGCCATTCTAGAGCATTCCTATAAAGAATGTGGCATCTGGAGATCTCTATGGCCCAGAATTCTGGCTCTGCCACTAGTATGCTGTGTGATCTTGGGCTGGTCATGTAACATCCCTGAATCTCAGCTGTATATTCTGAGGAAAATGTGAATTGGGGTGGGGATCACAAACAATACAGTATACAGGTAATGTGTTATGGAATTGTGCACCTGAAACCTGTATAATTTTGTTAACCAGTGTCACCCAAATAAATTAAATAAAAAGATAAAAAAGAAATTAAAATAATACCAGACTTTTATTTTGGGGGAAATACAAGCAAATTTATACAAAGCACTTAGCATAGTGTGTGGCATATTGCACTAAATGGATGCCACCTGCTTCTGGCTGATACTGACCATCAGATGGGAGAGGTGCACCTCAACTACCGTATTCAGTAGGACACAGTGAAATTCCCTGAGATGCAGTTTCAAGAACTTGACAAACTTCTTTCTCTCTAATGGAGAATTCTATGACTACATCTGAGCCCTCTCTCCATGGTGCTCTGAGCAGCTATCAACAGACTCACAAGATCACATCACTCAGCCATTCATTTTCTTTCCTACAAATAATCATGATGATCAAGGAGGGGGAGGAGAATGAAGAGTTGGAGTGTGTGAGAGGCTAGTGCCTTTTTTTTTTAAAGACCCAGTGTAAGTGTCCTTCTCTCCCGGTCCTCACACCACCTGAAGGATTTGCCAAACAAGTCCATCATGTTAAATGAGCACAGAAGGGAATGACAGGGGATGCAACCGAGCGTAGGAAATAACGCTGCAGATGTGCTTGATAAACACACTTGTCAGGGAACCTCCTGCATTTCTCTACCAATCATGCAAAGTCAGGACAGGTTCTCTTTGCCTAAAGCGATGATAATGCACATTGTCACAGGGCTCCCATTGTCCTCGTTCAGAATCATGCAAATCAAGGTGAAGCTGATAAATTCTATTAATTTTTCTTTCTGCTTTCATACTTCGAGTTGCCAATCTTGTACATGAAAAAAGGGAATTCATTCTTCTGCAGCACTTGCCAACTATTCACATTACTTGCAGTTGGAATAAGAATTGTACAGCGCCCCCCCCCCTTAATTAATTGTGTGGCTGGATATGATCTCCACTTATCTCTGAAGCATTCATCTACAACAGTCACAGTGGAGCCTGTTTCAAAGCAACTCCCTTCTCTCTCTCTCTCTCTTTAAAATTGCATTATTTTTTAAAAATGTTTTTACTGCTTTCAGAGAAAGGAAGGGAGAGGGAGAGAGAGAGAAACATTGATGAGAGAGAAGCATAGATCAGCTGCCTCCTGCATGCCCCTACCAGCGATCCAGTCCCCAACCCAGTCATGTGCCCCAACCAGAATCGAACTGGTGGCCTCCTGGTGCATGGGACAATGCTCATCCAACTGAACCACTCTGGCCAGGCTCATAGCGACTCTTGTCTGGTAAAAGAAATGGCGTAGAGTGCTGCGAGTTTGGAACTCCTTGTTACAGAATGTCTCGCCTGGGTCTAAGTTCATACATTTCAACTTTGTTCTCTGCAACTGTGGTTTTGTAAACACCCATGTGGTTGCTTTTCCTGAAACCTAGATTTGCCCAGAGTATACTGCTTCCCTTGAAGTTTCATGTGGTGGCTGTTGATTCATTCCTCCTCCCCACCCATGAACCTCAGGGTTAGGACTTGGGGTTTCTTTTCTAGGACTGGCCCATGAACCACCACGGCTCTCAGATCCTTGAGCTCTGCCTTTTCTAAAGCCAACATCCTCCACTCTACCATGGCTGAAATCTGTGATGGCCTTTCCCTGTGCCTGAACCCAAGGAGCTGAACACAGCCTGAGAAATAACACATAGGGCAGAAGGATGCCATAAATTCATGATCAGCGAACTCCAGCCCTCAATACTGCCTGGAAATAGACCACGACTTCTTTAGTTACCTAGACCTTCCATTTTACATGATAACGTTTTCAAACTTTCTCCCCTGGCCTCAAACCTTAAACCTCCTTATCTTCCCACTAGAATATGGCCTTATACTAATATACAGAGAGAATAAAAGCATTCAGACAATAATTCCCTCCACATCTGTCTACCAGACGACAAGCCTACCTAGGTCTATACACAACCAAAATCTTTCCTTTGGGTGGAGCAGGAGGACTGGCCCTATGTTTTAAGGCCAAGCACTCTTTCTTGCATTGGTTTCCATCATTTCACGCTAAGGAAGTTTACCATATGCTAGCGATTTTCAACCTTTTTCTTCTCATGACATACATAAACTAATTACTAAAACTGCAGCACACCAAAAATCTACACTAATGAAAGAGAAAAATGGTAATTGGCATACGACGCTACCCTTTTCATTGGCTAATCCGGGCTATATGCAAATTAACTGCCAACTAAGATTGGCAGTTAACTGCCAACAAGATGGTGGTTAATTTGCATATGTAGGCACAATACAGGGAGGCAAAAGGGAAAGCAGGAAGAAGCCCCCTGCCACTGACAGTGATCGAAAGGAAACCCAGGGGGGAACTAAGAGCTGGGGGGCAGGCAAAGGCGGCCATGATCGGAGAATCAGGTGCCTTTTCCGCCCTGGCCAGTGATAGCAGGAAGTAGGGGTGGAGCCAGCGATGGGAGCTGGGCACGGT